TAGGAGAGGTTATTATGAGTGTTTTGTTTTTGTTTGTTTGTGATGTGAGTGTCACTAAAATAGCATGAGGATCACTGACCATGTTGTAATAGTGGCACCACCCTAGAATATAAGGGGAATCAGGCGGTGGTATGAACTAACTGCGCCCAAGGCAGCCCTGGGGCGGGGGTGAACGGGAATGAATAGAGCAGGTGTTTGGCTGCTGGCCTGCAAGTTGGCTGCTCTGATTACAGGTGAATAGTTGTGGTGCACGCTGAGTTTTGCATGGATCAGTTGACCGTGGATGCAGTGTTCTGAAGTAACTTTGGTGCAGTGATTGGGTGTTGCAATCAGTAAACAGGAAAGGGACATAGCGATTTGTTTGTGGGGACACTGGAATCAAGAGTTGGACTCAGTGGCCTGTGTTGTAACAAACATTTCGTTGACCTCTGTGTGTTAATTGAAGCATTGTGCTTCTGTTGGTGCCGTACTCTTGCTGAAGTTGTGCATCTGTTGATGCTGTGTGATTTTGTGTGTGGTGAACACTGATTATCAGTGTTTCTGATACCGGCGAGTTGGTTGGGTGTGTCGTGGCTGAGCTGCATTTGTTGAAGAGTTGTTCACTACAATAACAAGCTGAAAAACATCCTTGGAAAGGTCTGTATCCATTCAGTTGGTCTTGAGGCTGTCCCTGAAAATCGATTGCATTCCAGAAATCAGTGTTGCAAGTGAAAATTCAGCAGACAAGGAGCAGTTGTGCTGACTCGCTGCTGCTGACCAAAACAACAACATACAAAGAAAGAGGTGGTTGGTTGGAAGAAGGGGAAGCTGATGCCTGTGAATTGAAACTGCTGTTCAAAAAGATCACTGTGGAAGAAGTGCACATGGGTGTAAACAATCTACCATCACAGATCATGAGCAAGCCAGACATGCAACTTCCACCAGAAAAGGTGGAGTTGTGTTTGACAGCGAGTTGGTTGGATTATGAGCTTGCTTTCCGAGAAACTGGTGATTTCATCCATTAGTGTGGGCCCACGGTCGTCCAAGAAGGTGATCAGAAAGACGGATCTGGTGACTCATTCAAATTGGAAGAAGATTCTTTGAAAGAGTGCTCTGAGGGAAGTTGTACAAAGGGCATTTCGATTGGCTGAATCATCCTGCAGTTCTGAGACACTTCGTGTTGTGAGGACTGATTGATCAACAGGGAAGCATCTGTGGGGGCATCCAGTACTTGGACGACATTCTTGTGTGGTCAACCAGGCTGCTAAACTGGTCGTTGACGTTTGCTGGACAGAGAGTCATGCATCTGACCAAAAGACGCTTGGGTTTTGTGTGCATCATTTTTGGTCTCCAGCTGTTCTGTCCACCCATTCAGAGTGCTATATGGAGACTGTGGGTATTTGGGGAGCAATTTGGGACTGATTTAGGATGAGTGGTCATATGAACTGATCTGACTACAAAATGTACGCGTCATTTGACTTAGGATCAAAGGGAATTGGCAAGGGTATTGTGTGAAGTTCGTGAAAGGATGGAATAGAGTAGGCTGAGGGAAGAAATGCTGGGTGAAGGTGAAGTCTTTGCATTTGATTTGTGGGAGTTTGGGACAGCGTGTGCGTGTGTGGTGAATATTGTGTGCTTGTCTTGGGTTGCTCCTTTTGTGGAATGTTCGGTGTTGTAAGAAAGTTTTTTCTGTTCGCGAGACTCTGGGGCTGTGATCAAAGGCCAATCATTGTGATCACAGATAATGTCCATCAACAACCCACACTCGTGTTTGACACATTATAATACAATTGGTTAGTGATGGCTATCACTGAACTATTGCCAAATCCATGGATGAACAGCCATACCTAAATATCATAACCTCCCCCAGCAACATGTGCTGGCTGTGATTGTGCACACTCAGCCAAGAAGGAATGCTTGAGTCTTGCCTTGCCTACAGCAAAGGAAGTGTTTGTTACTCAAACCATCGAATCATGATGAAATAATCATGTAAATGTACGTGAAAGGCCATTACAGCAAAGTCACCATGGTCGAATGCCAAGCAATCAGGATCCCAAATGATATCAACCATTGGTTCAATTTAGTGATTTTCCCAAATTTGCACTGTATGTATGAAGCACAATTACTGTCATCAAGAGTGCGACAACATTTTTCAGTGCTCAGATCAACAGCAATTTCACAATGGTGCTTATAGCAGCAAAAAAGTTGAATTCCACAGAGAGAACACTACTCTTAGAACAGCATCGTTTAGATTCACTTCTTTTCTTTTCCAGGCTGACATGATTTCAAATGCAGTACTACTCACAATTATTTTAATGCTTATAGCAACGTGTACTGCTTTTGTCCAGCAGTAAATGAGCACATTTGGGAGACTGAATTTGCATCAAGCACGTCCTCTTGCGGGATGTATTGAAAGTGTTTGGTCAGGTCGCATTTGCACAATGCTATTGTCACTTTTGCCCGGAAACGGATGGAGCATCATGTACGAATTTACCAGATGCTCTCATGTTTTTGCCGAGTACAGATAGGCACAGCACAAATGGCATAGCTTTGAGCGAACTCTGGCCTACTGGTTGAACAATCATGTGCTGTCAGCACGGCCTCCCCCCAAGTGGGCCACTGACCAGGGCCCCATGCCATGGACAGCAGACAGTGCATACTGCAGTGGTTCAAGGATTTCCCACAGAACAAAGAGGTTGTTGAACTAGTTTCTGCACCACTTAACAGCTGTGTTTTCGACAAACAAGCAAGGGGTGGAGAGGGTGGGAGATTTCTTCCAGCAGACCGTGGGATGGATAATCTTGTGCTAATGTGGAGCTTGCTCCACATGTCTACATTCAGTATTCTCTGTGCATGTCCTGAGTTCCAAAATCACAACATCAGGACCTGGCATCAACCATAGATTCCAAATTTTTCTTGCGTGCTCAATGAATTTCAGACACAAATGCATACCGCCCTGGTCCACTACCAGGATAGCTGTGCTGTGCATCATGCTGCATTGATTTCCCTCCACAGTATCCGTGAGAACCCTCCGAAGAAAAGAAGTCCCAGATAATGAGCTGTAACACACAAAATGGGTGATAAATACACCTGCAATTACCTTAACAGGCCCCATCAAGAAAAAAAACAGGTTCATAGCCAAGGAATAGAGGGGCTATAGCAACCCAAAGTCGATCGCAAACATGCAGGATTTGTACCATTGTAATCAATCCACATGCATGACAACTTAAAATCAACTCGCACATAAACTAGGCCATACTCCGTCAATGACTTGTGCCCCAAGTCGCAAAGCACAGCAAACCAGTAAAGATACATAGCGCCTTATTTCTGGGCAGTTTGTGGACAAAGAAGAGCAGAGTAGGAGGCCAACACATACTGCAATGTCCGATCGAATGTCTCACTGAGATACCTGTAACCTTGAGCAGCATGTTCAAGGGATGGGCTGACAATTAAAATGCTACCATCTCCAAACTAGGAAACAAAATTTAATAAAGCATTGCAAAAAGAAGTGCAAGGTCTTGAGGCTCTCTCAGTTCGATTGCAACATTTTGGCACCAATTCTGACAAGCAGCATAGCACCATTCATGTTTGAGGCAACTAAAATGCTGGAGACAGGCTGCACAATGGTGACCAGGGCACTTGCGGTTCCAAAAGCATGCAGATGCATTTGGTCTGCCTGAGTTAGTAGCCCAACAAAAAAAGACCCAGATCACTTGATCACAATCTGTTCTCAAGAGATGTCATCTTTCATTTCTTCTAGGAGAAGCACACATTTCTAGGGGATTTGCACTCAGTGATCTGTTTGGTTTTGCCTCAGGAGTACTTCTGCACAGGTGTTTTGTAACAGGTGCATGAAATTGAGATGAGCAGATGCACAAACAATATAAATAAAACTTGTTCAGTCCTAATCACCATTGCACCACAATGTCTTCAGCATAGCCTCCAAGCTTGGAGACTACCAACTGCACATCCAGGCGCTGTGCCATTCCTAACTGCCTGCACATCTTGCATCCACTCGTGTGCCTTCAACCAGGCTGATTTGCATTGCCGTGACAATCCTACATGCCAAACAAGGGAGTCAAGGGTGGGCAAGGAGCCAGCACAGCCAAGTGCTGGTTACAGAGTACAGTGCTGCAATCCCAAGTCACTGCTGTTTGCATTAGTTGCCAGAAATACTAAGCACCGATGTGGTCATGTACTGTATTTGTGGTAACTGTGCTGCTCTTGTATGGGAGAGTTTGACATTCGCATGCTTGATTTAGGCTGGAAAGTGGCAAGAAACCAGAGAAGCTTTTTTTTTTCTGAATGGGCAATGAGTGCCCATTTTGGAAAATTCACAGGAACAGAAATCATACACGAGTAGAAAATAAGTTTGGTCCATGATCGGACACTCTGGGAGCTTGTCAGGGCTGCAGCGGCTCCAATTGTGGTTGTCAATCAAAATTTCCATGGTAGTTCCTGCGACAATTCGCAATCGCAAGCCGATCCAGGGAACAATAATCCTTGTTTGGTAGACAAGCTGTGAGACAGGAATCTGGCAACCAATGAGGGTAGATGACAGAATAATGGAAAGGCAGGTTGGTTGGAAAAATGCAGATGGGGAAAGGACTGTGGAGTACATGAGGGGAATAGCACAGTCCCTGCACCCCACTGACAGGCAAGAAAGAAGGGGTGGAAGGGAAGGGGTGGGCACACACAGTTCACAATTTCTTTCTCATGTCTTCTATTGGCTTCAATTTTTATATTCTTACATCACATCCACACGCCATCACTCTGTCATATGTCAATTTAGAAGACAGCAAATTCGCGCCTTATAAAATGCCCAAAGCCTCCTGCAGCACACAGCGCCCAGCCCAACCCACCCACCCATGTACGCAAGATGCTCATCCTGGATTCATCTCATTCTTGCCCGTCATCCCCTCCAATGCGGTACAATCCACACTGTCTCGTTGAAGGCAACCCAAGCAGCGTCAAGCCACCACCCGCCCGATGGGAGCGCACCCCCCCACACATTTTCCCCCTCAGTCCACGTCCATTTCCTTCCTCCTCCCCGCCTCCCACTCCACTACCCGTTCCAGGAACGCCTGGCCGCCCATCTCCCTTACGGCAACCCCGCCCTCCACGCTGATCCCCACCACCCCCATCACCGTGCCCAAGAAAATGGGCAGGCACAGCCGCCCGAGCGCCCGAACGGCGTTGGCCACCCTGCACGCGTTCCCCCGCCGCCTGGCGGCTTCGTCCTCCCCCTCCCCGCCCCCTACAGGCGCCACCCACACCATCCCATTGCATCCCAGGATCAAACTCACCCCAAGCTCCCCCAGCTCGTGGCTGTGCGCCCTCTGCCTCCGGATCAGGTTCGGCACGACCCTCAGCGCCTGGCCCTCCCCGAGCAGCCCGTAGCGCGCGCTCCTCGTGTGCAGGTTCACGCTGCCATCCCCTCTCACCGCCTGCACCTCAGCGCTGATCAGGTCCCCCTCTTTGAACACCCCCCTCATGTTCAGCTCATCCTCCGCTGTGCGCCGCCTCTGGATCCCCCCGGGCAGGATCACCGCCGCCAGGGACAGCTCCGCGCGCTGGCGAGTGTGCAAATCCACCTTCCACCGCCTGCCTGCGATGCTGGTCACGCGGCCGACCACCACATCGCCCGTCTCGGCGATGTAGCGGCTCTTCAGCGGCCGCACCACGACCAGCTTGTTGATGCGCTGCAGCACGCCGCAGACGGACGCCCGCAGGGCGCCATTGGGATCCACGTGGGTGCCGTGGCCGCGCAGGAAGCCCTGGGCGGGGTCGATCTCGATCGCATCCCCCACGCAGACGAAGGTGGGGGCGCCCAAATGGGAGGCGCCGGCTGCGGAGAGGCCCGCATGGCAGAGGGACAGCCAGTCGGCCGTCTCGGTGGACTCCACCAGCAGCGCCATGGGGCCGCTGGGCGTCGCGCCCCGCGGCTCTGCACGGGTCGTCGTGTCGAGGCTGTGCCGACACGGACCGCCCAAGTACGTGAGGGCGAGGGCGGCCGCCGTATCCTATTAGGATTGTGCCGGTAAACCCGCTAATGGAGAAGAGAGTACTGACTCACACAAGGCGGAGTAAGAAGAGGTTTGGATGCAGTTTTTCATCTTCTTCCATTTCAATGTGGTTCTTTCCCCAAGCAGGAACCCACCCAAACTATAAAATTTTGACCCAATGAACGCTACTGAATGAGCACCGCCATCACATGGAGCTGTCTGTCAGTTTGTCGAGGAATGGGACCGCACAACACAATTATATATAATTAAAAACAAGTAGGGTGGCCGTGCTGGGGTGTCCGAGTGGTTAAGGAGATGGACTCGAAATCCATTGGGCTCGCCCGCGCAGGTTCGAATCCTGCCTCCAGCGCTTCTCCAGTTGTTCCTTTTCTCGAGAGGGGCAACGACCAGGCAGGCCCCGAAACAAAGCATGGGCACCGATGATGGGAAACACCCTCTAGGGACAAATTTGCTGTCGAGGCACCGCTGTCTCGGCACAATCACCGTCTTGATTGCAGCTTTTTTAGCAGATACCGTGTTGTAAAATTGCTTAATTTACTTCGATCTTTGCTTGCGAGGCAACGTGGCATTGCAAGCAGACATGAGAGGGCCAGTCCACCACACACGGCCAGCACCTTGTCTCTGGAACCCTGCTGTCCCTTCGGCCACTGAAGTACCCGACGGCTGGGCTGTCTCCGAACCACCACCAAAGTCCTTCAATGGACGGGGCACACTTGCGTGGAACGCCTGAAGATGTTGGCTGCCCAGCTGGGATAGTGCGTGCTGCCCGATAGGCTGCAGAGCTCGCAGTCACACGCAGCATGCGATGCTGCACTTTTACGACGCTGCACTTTCCATACTACAAGCAATCACGCCATGGATGCAGTGGTTTACCAACAACAAAATCAGCAGCAAACTTGAACACATGATTCAAATTCCAAAGAAGGTGCATGCATTTCACAGTGCTTGCGAAATGTGCGCATCTCCCGGGGACGGCTACGTCCATGAGTCGTGAGGCGCAATAGACTTGTGGTGTCAGCAGACCAAAAAGATTGTGGTGTCAGCAGACCAAAAAGACCACCACAAGGAAGCGGAATCAGACCTGACCGGATCGCATTGGTTTGCTGCTCGAGTACAAAGCTCAGAGTTCCCTTGGAACACAACATGAATAAGATATTATGCAAGAGGAGCACAAACGTGATCCAGGCCCCCTATTGCGTCCTTCCTTCTTGTGCCCACTGAGTCTGATTCGAATCCTTATCGCACCAAATCCCGAAAGAGAAAGAAGAGAGAGCTGAAGAAAAGGGCATACGCCATGGGCAGCACCAGGCCATGAGGGCGATGGGCAACTTGCTGAGTACCCACCGAATCTGATTTGAAAATAATCGCAAGCGCATCCCCAAAGGGGACGCACAAGGCACCACAGGTGATATGCGACCCACACTCACTCCTCTAGAAAAAATAAGCCTCAATCAAGAACAAGAAATCCCTGCCACGCCCGCACAATCCTGCACCAATCTGGCCCACTCAGCATGCCCGCCATCCGAAACAATCCCCAAGAGTCATTGCCTACTGTCACCAGCGATCACCTGTGGTCAACGATGTTTAAGCAACTTCGTAGCCAGCTCCAGGCCCCCTCCTCACATGGGCAGCAAGTGGCTGATCGCAACCAAGTACAGGTGCTTCTGTGGTGACCACGCCTGAACAGAGCATCAAATGCCGACACCCTTCTGAGCAGAGGTGGTGCTTCCACAGCACTTCCTTTGCACTGCGCTGCACTCTGCTGTTCTCAGCGGTACCTTAATGCCACTGTGCATTTTGTTGCCCATCACTGCTGCCTTGCATGGGCCCAGGCACCCATTTCGGCCAAGAAGCAAATGTTGCTGAGGAAGATTCAGCCCAGAGTTCTGTTTTCTGCTATGCAGCCTGCAGAGGAAGCCATCGAATTACGCAACGACCCGCTGCAGCGAGCCGTTGCTATCCCGGTTTTTTGACAGGGAGGATGGGCCGTACAGCACCTGGCAGCGTCCCTCAAAGGAGGAGATCATATGCTCGACGACTTCCTCAAAGAAGACAGTGGCCACCTGAGGACACAAAAGAAGAGCCCAATTCGCATCGATTTTGCAAACTAACAAGGTATCCAGGTTAAAGTGCATATGGCATCAAAGACGATTTGTTCAGTCCACGATTGCCTGGACACCTACATACTGCAGTGCATCTGGTGTGCATGAGCTGGCCGCCAGGCCGATGCACTGTTGATGGAATCGAACGTCAAGATGTCATGGGCGGCATCCTTGGTATGTTCAGATCATCCTGAATGGAGCCCAGACATACAACCAACTTCCATGCGTGTGCTTGGGAATGCTTCCGTGGGCATGTGTATGTCAAAAGGCCGATGTCAACAAAGCAATCAAAACGGGATGGCGTAAGTTATCCATTAATCAATCAAATCTTTGTCTTCAAAGGGCATCAATTTTGCATCAAATGAAACCCATCCTGAAGAAACGAACTTGAGAGGCAACGGCCTCCCATTGGCATGCAGGTGCCTTTGCTTGCTCATCTTGCAGATGAATTCGAACAAAGGATGTGCAGGATGCTGCCAGTGCATTTCAACGAGTGTTATGTGGCCTACAATTGTGTTTCAGGATATTGCGTATGTCACACAGCATGAACGTTACACACAACAAAGCACTGAAGAGTGTGTGCTGCTCAAGTCAACACAGCAGTGCCATTCTGGACCATGCATCCCAACTCAAAAAGTAAGGGCGCTGTGCATTATATTCCCAAAGCATAATGCAAAAGGCTCACAAAAGCAACACACTCACATGAGCAGCCCTGAAGTGGCAAACAAAGCGACAATCCCACATGGCTTGCGCAGGTGAATCTTGTGTTTTGTGTACCTGATACAGTACTTGTTTGCATGTAAACACAAATTAGACACTCTCAAGTGAGAATAGATTCGCACCTGTCGATAAAGAGGCGATCTGAAAGCGAAATCCACTTCAAATGACAGCCAGCAGGTGTTAGGCGTAGGTCCAGGTTTCATTTCCCACACGCTCTCCAGATGGTGGAAAAGGGTGCTGGCCTCTGTGGATGTGCGCACCATAGTGGGGCATTCCAGGACGACCTTCGATATGTACCTGCGCAACAGGCAGTGACTGCTTGGCATGGCACATCTCCATGAATCCCTCCCTGCCAACTGTTCATGTCCATTGCTCTCTGTTACCTTAAGCAGTATAGCAAAAGGTGTCTCTGAGATTTCTGCTTTCTGCGTCTTTGTCTGTTCTGATTGGGGTTTGGGGGACGCTCTTTGACAAAAGCATCGTGCGTTCCTTGCGGAATGCCAGCAAGCCGATATGCACAATCATGGGATATGCCTGTACTGAATCCAGATGATGACATTGTCGTTTAATGCACTGCTGCAAGATCAAGAAGCGAACCAAATGCTCTGGTGCTTCGTTTTTCCAGTTGCTTGTGAGCATACATTCCTTCTCTTTCTGCACTTTACAAAGACCTTGTCAACGGTTGGCAAACAAGCCAACATCAAAACAGTTGTTGCCCTCGCCTGTGTGAGAGCTTTGATGTTTGCACATGTTGTGATCCATGCACATGGGCCAGAGGCATTCACAGCACTGCAGGTGTCATAACCCTTGTGGTCACCTTGTGTCCCTTCATACAAATGCATTACAGGCGTGCATTCCATAAGCGACTCGGAAGACACATCCTGCAATAGTTTCCAGGCCAAATCTCCTTCACCGTTAGCTTTCAGAACTTTGGTGGCAGCACAAATGGGATGGTATGCTGCGCACCTTTCAACGAACAGCTGAAAGCCCACTTCTAGCTCAGCCTCCAGGTACGTTGGGCTTTTCCTGGTAATCACCCTTGAGGCCACGCACCAAGGCACAAACTTATGGTAGTGCTCCACAGAGGACACCACTTTAAACAGCTGCTTTTGAGAATACCTGCAAATCAAGAACAGTTCTTCACTTGGCATTCCTACAGAATGTAGCAAAATAGCATAAATCATCAAATACACTGTATGTTAACAGTTAGCATTACATTTTACACAAGTATGACAGATCGACGCCTTTGTACCCAACAGGCTATACAATAGAATGTTGTCAAATGATGGAAACGTTCAATGGGCTGTTGCTCAGGAAGTTCTTTCTCCTGCGGTGGCATAAATCACACTGGTTTGTAGGCTGGCAGCGACACAATTCTCGCATGCATAATATGTCACAGTACGTTGCCAGACTCAGATACTGCTTTCAATGGCTTGGAAGAATATGACCACAATGTCACATTTGTCCTTGCTGACAGTTGTGTTGTCACAACTGGCAAGATGTTGTGGCTCCATAACAAATCACACTGGCAGGTGGGTGCTGGCTCTTTGTGTGGGTGCATTGTTTGTTGTTCTTTCCACTCCAGAACGTGTCAAAACAACAAATTAAAGCAGAAACAGCCCAAACGCACTGTTGTTGATCATAACGTCAGTTCTGAGCTGTGGTATGTCTCTGTCCCCTGGTGCATCTCCAAATAGACCCTCAACCTCCAGCTTTGTCCCCTGACAGGGGGCGGCGCTGTCCAGGAACCAGCATGCGTGGGTGGGGATGAGTGGCAGTGCATCACCACCTCAGTGTGGCAAAGATGCCACACTGCAAGGGCAAGATGCTGTTCAGACATGCTATGATCAATGATCCTGCGACTAACGAATGACACACACAGCAGCTGCCACATGCCTTGCATTCATGCAGTGGGGGGACAGGAAGAAGGAGAAGAAAGGCATCTTGTGCCAGGGTTCAATTGTGGGCATTACTGAGCCCTGCACCCCCCTTTTCAACTGGTGGTGGCATGTGTCCTTTCACTAACCCCAGTCTCAGCAGCACCCCCTGTATTATCAAGTCAAACAAAGCCACAGTTGTCATCGCCCCCAACAGCTCTGAGTTGTGTCCAGGTGTTGCTTTGGCAAGTGCTTTGCACAAATTTGAAGCAAACCCAACCACCAAACATTGGGTCAGCCACTGTGCCTTAAGCCCAACCACCAACCAACTATTGGAGCAGACTTGCCATGATCAGCAGGATACTGAACCAAGCAGTGAATTGATGATCCTTTAGCCATGCATCGATGCACCCCTGGACTCACATCGATTCCACGCTGGCCATATGCATCGATGCACCCCTGCTGACACCCAACCACTCACCACCCCCAAGAGCATCGGGGTTGTGAATCTGGGAAACAGGCAGGCAGGAGACCAGACAGCAAGCGCACTCACTGCTCTCAAGGCCCCCAATCCCCTGCCTCCCACACCCGACTCCAAACGCGCCAATGGTTCCCAACGCACTGACTGGCTGCGACAGACTCGCCCAGTTTCAAACCAGACTGGCGGCCACACCATGACTGCGCCACCCCCAGTTCCACAAGTTCTACCAGCTCCCCTAAGCCAGATTCGATTTTCCCTTCACTCCGAACACCAGCATGGCCTGGAAAGCCCCTTAGACACAGCTGTCCCTGCCGGACATGGCGTTCGTATTAGGACACTCTGGACAACCTGCCTGCAGACTTATGCCCAACAAGCCTTCAACAAGCTCCATTGCAAGGCTTCAGAGCCAGGGTACTGACACTTCAGGGCCGGTGGTGACAGCTGGAAAAACAAACCCGAATTCCCCACTGTCAGGACCTCGGTGAGAGCTCCCGGCCCCCCCCCCTCCCCCCAAACTGCACAAATGCAAACACACTCATTCTTGTCGACGGTGGCACCCATAGAGCTGCAAAGCGGAACAGGGCCCGCTGTGTGCTTGCTGAGGAGGGTCGTCCATTGTATGACCTGCCTTCCCGGGTTCTTATCAACATTGACACTGGTGCACACACGCACTTATGCTTGTCGATGTGTGCACCTATACCGCTGCAAAGCTGAACAGGCCAAGCCATGTGCTTGCTGAGGGCAGGGCGCTCCATTGTACGACCTGCCTTTCGCGGTTTTCAGTGTGCATCTTTTCACACACTCACCCCAGAAGTCGCCTCTCCTTGTGCTGCCTGGCTGTGTCGGACGGCCCCGCGAAGATTCCCCTCCTCCCCGCCCAACCGCCCTCCAGCGCACCCCCCTCTGCCCCCGTCGGGCCCTTAACCCTCCCCTCCGCCATCGTCCCTGCCGGCCCACCGGCCCGCCAGCCCGCCGCGGCCGACATCGGCCGCATGTGTGCTGCGCCGAACTCCCACAGCGAGCACAGGCGAGACACGGCGAACGCGGGCCGGCCTCGGCCCTCGCCGGGGATCGAGGATGCGATCCAGCCGCCCAGGCGCCAGATCAGGGCGCCAGCGCGCTTCATGCCGCACTCTGAGGGGACGGGGATCGGCGAACGGGGGAGGGTGCCCGGCGGTGGCTGTCCTTGAGAGAGATTTGATGCGGAGATCGAGAGGGGCGATCGGGAAGGGCGGAGACAGAGGGATGGGGGTGTGTGCCGGTGCGTGGGGCCCTGCTGGGGTGTGTCTCGGCCTCGCCGGGGGGGTTTTGGGCGGGCGCGGGGCCTGAGGGGTGTATGTGTGCGTTAGCCGGCTGTTGTGCGCTGGGAAAGGTGAGGGGTGCGAAGGTCGGGGATGAGCCCTTTGCCACGTGTCCCGTTACGTTAGGCGATGGCGGTTGGGCTGGAAAAAAGTGAGGGGACACGGTGGGGCAATCTACGTAGGAAAGGACCATGTTCGCGACGCCGCATAATGACCACCGTTTCACTGGGTGGATCACTTCTGCTTGATGGCTTGCGACTGGTGGGCATGTCAAAGCGTGAATCGCTGCTTGAGATTGAAAGAAATCTGAAAGTACCGAATAGCCATTTCCGTGATTGAATCCTGGTTTGGAATTTGGCTTTTGAGGTAGTTTTCGATCACACTCATGTTTGTTGAGGACAACATGAGCTTGATGAAAGAATGTCCTGCAATTCACATAGAGATGCCTTGGTCATAGTGTCTTGTCCGCAGGATGCAAGGGTGTGTTGTGGGGAAGTTTCGGATGTGTGTTTCCCGAAGCTTTACAGCATTGTGACCGCCCTCTACTTTCACTTTGGCTTGCAAGCTTTGTTGTACTTGCACTTTGCAGTGGGGGCGTTTGAAAATGACCATATGCGGCACCTGAGTAGTCAGAATTCTGTTGTTTTGAATTCTGAGTGAAAGGGAAGTTGTGGCATGTTTTAGATGTGGGTTGCACCTTAGTGATGAGGTGGCATGGGGGTTTAATTGTTTTATGGGCATTTGTGATTATGACAATCCTTAGAGGTCGAAAATGGGACATTGTGTCAGATAATGGAAATTGGCATGAACGTGGCTGATCATTTTAAGTGCACCCCAACCTGTTGGGGGCGCAGCAACCTGTGCTGTGAACCACGCCTTGGACTCCGTGTCGCCTGGCCATGTGAGCGCCGGCGCGTGGGATGGCGACCCCTCCAATTGCCTAGCTATTGACGCTTCTCTGGCTTACTTCGAAGAGGACAAGCCCATCGTGCTACGCATGATGGTGCGTTTCCTTTTTCAACCAGCCAATGCCGCCAGTTGGCTGGGGCTGCAGTGTTTGATGTTCTTTGAGTTTTGCAGACAATCCCTTCCCCCTTTCGGTGGCCGTTTTCATGTATCCTCCTTTATTCATATATGTCAGGCCATGTGCCCGGTACCGCATGGAATTTGAGCAACATGTGGCAATGCTCCAGCAGCACAACGTTCTCGCCAATATTCCCTTTCCCGCACATTGGTGAGTGCATGGAAACGGATATTGGCGAGACAATACTCTGCTCAAATGTTGCCTTATGTTGACGGAATTCTATGGAGTATCGAATGTATTTAGAATTTCCACAGTTCACAGAATTTGGGTCCTTTAAGGGCAACAATCTTCCGCAATTTGTTGAACAAAATTCGCCCAGAATTTTCGTTCTGCATCAGCCTTAAAGCCCTCCTATGTATGGTCCAATATATTGTGGCAGTGCTTTTGTCTAGCAGCATAGCTCAAGATCGAGGCCACCCGCTGGGAGGACTGCCCTGCTGAATATTGATTGTTCAAGGACCATTGTGACACTTGGCCCCACCATGTATGGCAGCCCTATGCGAATAGAGGTTCCCCGTTCAAATTCATCGCTACCCTTCGTGCCAACTTATCCCAGAGATAAGCTTATCTCTACAATTGATGCATTGCTATTAGATTTGTGTATCCAAATTGTCCATTTTGCTCTGCATTATGGCTTCGTGTTTTCTAGCACCGCTTTTCCATATGGTTGCAATTTGAGGCACTCTGTGCCATCCAAATAACCACAAAGGTTTGTGGTATGTATTCATCCATTTTAGAAAATATATAAGGACATCCAAATCGTCACTTGTCAATTTGACCGGTCGAGATATGAACCTAACTAAATCAAAGGTCATTGCCGGCTCCTGTTAAATTTGCCGTTAGTCATGTTGCCACGTTGCTCAAAGAATGGCTCATGATTAACATATGACGATTTATTGGGTGTCACAACACCACAAACCAATCAAAATTGATGTGGATAGCCACTGAGTATGGCTTGAAAGCACGAAAAGTGTGCTCTACCTTGTACAAAAAAGGGAGGTGTTAAAATTCGGGAAAAAAACACAACACCCAAAGAAGGATGGAATATACCATATGGGTGCTGGGATGGAAAGGCGAAATCATCATTGAAAAGGACGAGAGTGTTGTGAAAATGTCGCCAAAATGTTGACCGGATTGGCAATTTTAGAATAGATGTTTTGTATGTAGGAATGGTTTGAAATGAAAGGCAATCGATGGTATGATGCATGTGGGATGGCCTGGCGATCGCCTGCGACTCAGAAATCACGCTTCATGATGGCAGCCAATTCTGGTCAGGATTCCTCCCTAGAATTGGAGGCATATGGTGGGGTGCTTTTAGGTTGGTGCTATGTTGCAGCAATGTGGCTCGTTCCCTGGAAAGCTACGAATTTGCTGAGGACGTCTCCACCCTATGATATGGCTTTTGTGTTGTTTGTATTGGGAGACCAGTTGGAGCAAAACGGGGGCAACAAATTGACCTTTGGCCTTTTGGCAAAGGGTCACAAACGTTGCAATAAAGTATAGAATAGAACATCATATAGGGTTAGTATAGTAAGACATGTGTCCTGAAGTAATAAAGAAGGGACCTTGCGGTGGCCTGGACCCTATTCGAGCCAGTACACCTGCAAATGTGACCTTTCACAAATTGTACCTTGTCATACAAGTTTGGCATGTCCCCGTATCTTGCCCCCCCCCCCACCAAGGCCTCCGCGCCCCGTGACCTACCACTGGTCTAAACATAGCGACGTTGCCATCTCTCTGCAGAAGGTGTTGAAAGTTGAGCAGATGGCGCGGGTCAAACGTAGCAGGCTGCCTGATTGGGTGCCGGTGCGTCACAACATGGACAAGGAGTCTGGCGAGGGAGCAATGGCAGGGCCCAACCACATCCCCACTTGGTGGATGGTGCCCATCCCGCGACAAGGCAAGGTACATCCAGACCCGGCTGCCCGAGGGACGCGCGAGCTGGGTGCGCCTCTCATCCCGAGTGAAGTTGCCTTTCTCGTCAAGCAGAGCTGTGAGGCGGGGGCCGGTGGTGCTTTGGCATGGGGCGCCATCCGTGGCTCTGGTCTCCCCAACCGATCAATCTTCGGGGCCGTAGACTCGACCGTGGCTTGGCGAACGGCGGACGAGGGGGAGGGAACGTTCGCGTTCACTCTCCAGTGGGTGGCGACCACAGAAAACGAACGCCAAACCTTCCGCATGGCTTCTGCAGTGGCCGCCAGGAATTATGCAGGAATGGGAGAGTGGGATGAAGTTGAGTTGTCTGCATGGCGGGCTGCAAGAGATGATGACAACATGACATTACCACAACCATTTGGATTCCATGGTGGGGCAGTTTTTTCGAAAAAATTGCACGTACCAGAATAGCTCCCAGTGCTATATGTATAGTAACACTAGTGGCACCTTATCCGACCTTTATTTCTACAAAACTACGTAGTGGTATTTGATGATGGTGTTGCGGCCCTGGAAGGCGCCGCTGGTTTCCAAAGCTTGCGGGGTCGCCACGCCCTTCGGCTCAGCTGGTGAAGGTGCAGCCGGCTCTCTCCACCACGATTGGTGGGCAGAATCAGGGCGCTCGTTCCCTTGGATGCGCGGTGGGCCCAGAACGATGGGGATCGTCCCCCGGGGCCTGCTGTATGCGGCGGGTGGTGGCGCAGCCGGTCGGTGGCTCGCTGGTCGCGGAGAGACCAGGCAGTGGGCCAAGAACGGATTACATGAATTCCCTGCATGCGCACGCACAAATCCGCATGCGCGATGCCCGATGGCGGGTCCATCGCTGTCACATCAAGACAAGACAAGTAAAGTGCGCGTCCAGGCACATCGCCACCGTCCACCGCTCACCTACGATCGACCCATTGTCCTCTAATTCCAAGCATCTAACACCCGACCCCCTGGCCCTCAATACTACAACTTTAGGAGGCCATATCTTCGTCAATTCTTAACGGAATTGGGTGTTTAAAAGCGCGTTGGAACCAAGAAGCTCTAAATAACACTCACAAAAGGTGCATTTCACCAATTATATAATTTCCACTCCAGAAATGTCAAATAATCCTAAACCCCAAGCAGCCACATCACAGATGGGAGCAGTTGTCTGGAGGGTGGGATGTGACATGGTGTCAGATCATCTACAAAGGCCTGCTATCAATAGCATATTATTCCATCTCTTCAATGCATGTTGATGTCATACCTCAAGTGCAACTGGGGATAGAAAGTGTTTGACTATGGTTTCTACAATTGTGAAACCATGAGTATTTGGCACGGCAGTGAGTAGAGGGGCAGAGTATATGGGTTGCCTTATCATATATCTCCAAGGAAATTGATATACCCCAGGGGGTGTATAGCCATAGTGAGGGGACCGGCAGATAGATGGTTAGCAAACTTCATGTCTCAGATTTCCTTTCCTTAGGTACAAACATCAAGGTCATATAATGGTGGATTAAGTGGGGACCTTTGCTATGATGTTTGTGGGCTAATAGTAGGTCAGATGCATAAGCAAGTGGATAGAGGTCGGTGTATGTTCTTGAGTAGCTGTGATTCTTGATAGCAACTGGGTGCTTTGGAGAGGCGTTCCCCCGGTTAGGGTAAAAATAGGGGTGGCCTAGCTAATGGATATCCCTCCTAGCTATTATAATAGAAGGATACCGAAAGTCGCCACGAGTGCCCTCCCAGCATTATAATAGGAGGCGCCATATGCATCCGAGTGCTGACCTCCAGGCTTAAAACAGGGGGTGACCGAAATCGCCTGCAGCACATCAATGGTTC